CCGGCTGATGTCACCCGAGCCAGCCTGGGCCTGGGCAGCCGGCTGCTGCTGGGCTCCCCGGGACAGAAGGTCATCTATTATGTAAGCTTCATCCATATTCTGACTGGTGATAAGGGGCGACATTTAATTTTTTTTCCATTATGTGGAATAATTTAAGATTGTGTTACGAGTGTCATTATTATTGCAATTTCTCAGTAATAAAAACAGTATCAATTATTTAATGTCACCTCATGTGTCTGGGTTAAGTGGGGATGGTGAGAGACGCAGAGGGTGGTTGGGGAGGGAGGAGGGAGGCAAAGCCCTCCCGGGGCTCCAGGTTTCTAAGCACTCTGGGGGTGGGTAGAGTGTGTGTGAGCCGCTCTTGAGATCCTGCTTCCCTTCTCCACTGGGGTGTAACTCGGGCCTTGCTTTAGCTGTGGCTGGCAGGGGACACCAATTAATCCTCTGACCTTTCCCTTGGCCCTTCATCAGGGAATTTTGACCTGCTAACAGACCTCAATTAAGTAAACTACCCGCCATGAGGCCTGGGAAGCTCGGAGTGATCGCACAGTTCCCTCAGCTCAAATTCACATGATAGGAGGTATGCGTGGGCTGGGTGAAGGTCAGGCTTGCCACAGGTACACACCAGGTTGGTTGTCTTTGCTTCCCCTAAGAGCAGTGACATCCCAGTGGGGGAAGAAGCAGGGACAGGTGGACACACAGAAGATTGCTGCTGGGACTAGGACAGACAGTGAGACTTGGGGCTGCAGGGCCGGCAGAGCTGTCATTTGATGGCTGTCCTCTGCCATTGTAGACCACATCTGGACATGGCTGCGTCCTGTCAGTTATGCTCTAGGCTTTTTCTTTCGTGACTCCAGAAACATTAGGAACCAACTGCCATCTTCCTGGTGCCTGGGACAGCAAACCCTGATGAAATCACCCAGGTTGGATTTCTTGAGGGAGATGAGCATATTATTTTCAGAAGCCCTTTCGATTTCCTGTAAGGCATATTCCTGGGCTGCTCTCCTCCCTTCCCTCACCTCCTCTCATTTTATTTCCTCTATCTTTCCCTCTCTCTCTACTCCCTCTCTTTCCTTCTGGGAGGTACTAATTATTCTACAGCTCCTGCTTCTCTGCGTGGCCTTTCCAGAGGGGTGGAAATTACTGTGTTTATTCTGAGCCCCAGGGACTTGCCCCAAAGCCTCTGTCACAAGAGGGCAGTGATGTCAAGTTCCATGGCCCTGATGGGTGTTGCCTGGTGCCTTCCAGCAGCTCCCTCCCTGTACTAGCTGGGTTTGGAGGAGTGGGTGGGGACAGATGGGGGAGGAGGGTAGGATGAAGACTTGGGGGAGGGTGTAGTGCAAAAGGAAAGGGAGACATCTGGCTATATCTGACACTTTGACATTTGGGAGGTGCAAGGTGACACAGCCACCCCGAACTGTCCAAAGCCCCAGGATAGGGACAGAAGGTGACTCAAGACCCTCCTGAGGGGCAGTCAAGCAGGCTCTCAGAGCTACAGGGGAAAGTCAGGGAAGCTTGCATTAGTCAAACATCCGCCTGGGAAGAGTTCTTGTGGCTTGCTCTTGCCTTCCTCGTGGGGCTGCACGGGTTGGGGGAGGTGGTGTGAATGGAAAAGCTTTTGCAGAGGTTTAAAAAAAGCCACAAAATGTAAGAAAGTGATAATGTCAAGTAAAGAGGGGTGAGCTGCCATCAGCAAAGCAGAAGGAGGATGTAGAGAAGGAATTTCTCCCTGGGGTCTCAGTCATTCCCACACGAGTCAAGGCTGTGTGTATCTAGGGCTTCAGTGAAGAAATGCAGTCCCTCCTACTGGCAAAGGGGGCTCCATGGAGTGAGGGGTGTGTCATCCCAGCAGGGTGATAGCCACCTTGGCCCTGCAGATGTTTCCTGCAGGTGGAGGCTTATCCCACCTGTAATTTCTTGACATTAAGGGGCGTATTTCTCTTGATTTCCTCATCAGCAGTTGAGTGGAGAGCGGGGATGCTGTGAATCCCAGAAGGGAGTTGGAACGGAGCCCTGGGAGGCTGGCTGGGTGTGGCTCAGGCTCAGGGATGTGTGTGGAGAGCTTTGCCAGCTGTGGGGTATGGTAGCTGTCCGTAGCATCTGTCCGGATGCTCCCTCTAGCCTCCAGCTGCACAACTGGGCCCGCCCTGCTGAATGTGAATCCAGCGCATAGAAGAGGGTGGGTGCAGTGGGGGATGCTGGGTCTTTGTCTTGATTTTCAAAGGGCAGCTTCTAAGTGGAGTTGGGATGGGATTTGCTTAGTACACCCCTAACCCCAGCACTGAAATAAAGCAATACAACCAGCAGAACATAGATGGATAAAGTGGCAAAAGGCTGTGGTGGGAAGGGGGATGTTTGCCCTCCTGTTCCTTGCCTTAAACACTGTCTTCAGAAGTCAGTGTGGCTTCTTCCCTGACTTTCACATTGGCTCGGACACCGTCCTCCCACCCGGGTCTTTTCTGAAGGATCACTCCATCTCCGCATTTTGGAATGAGCTGACGCATTCCAAAATGCGTGAAGTGGTGGGACCTAGAACATAGTACTTTCATACCAGGATGGCTAGATCACTGTGGCTATGACTTAGTTTTCTTCTTAACTCTTATCACTACCTGGTGCTCTCTTTTGTAATTTATTGTCCATTTATTGTCTGTCTGTGGAAGGAGAACACAGGATTTATGCAGACATGGGACTCGGCTATTTTGTATCTCTGGAACCTGGAATTGTTCTAATGCTTAATAAGAATTTGTCAAAAACGTGAAGGCAGGCAAGTTTCCTAGAGAATAACAAAAGTCTTATCTTTATAGTAAAAAGAGTGTCTGTGAGCTCCCAGTCCTACAATAATACAGGGGTCTTTGGGGTCCTGAGCATCCTAAATCTTTCTAAAGCAGGGCTTCTCAACCTCAGAACTGTTGACATGTGGCCGGTCATTTGTTGGGGGGGCTGCCCTGTGCACTGTAGGGTGTTTAACAGTGTCCCTGGCCTCTACCCACTGGATGCCAGTAGCGCCCTCTGCCCTACCCCACATACAAAAGTGCCCATTGCCAAGCATCCCCTAGTGGTGGCGGGGGTGAGGGCAAAGTTACCCCAGTTGAAAACCACTGTTGTCAATTAAAAGCTGTATCTCTCCAGGCTGCTCCTTACTAAATGGGCTCCAGTCAAATAAGCAGCTTTGAGCGCATTAATGCTGCTGTGTTTCTCTGTAATGAAGTGCTTCTCTTCCCATGGCCTTCCCCGGTTACGCATCGATCACAATATACAAAGAAGGAGGACGAAGGAAGGAAGATCAGCTGACACGCTCTCATAGAGAAGCACGTCTTTTATTGCTGCAGCGATTCCTCAGATGTCAGCATGAGATGTAGGATTAGAAATAATTAAAGCACATAAACCAACAAAGAGATGCGACTATATGGCACATGGCACATGGCACAGCCACCAGCTGTCAGTTGGGATACTTAGAGGGGGGTTTCTGCATAGGGAGGGACTGGCCTTCCTGAAGTCCCTTCTGTCCCCAGGATTCCGTCCATCTGTAGTGTCAGCCTTGAGTGTGATGCAGTGTGACAGGCTGCCTCTTTGTGCTTCTCCCCGGGACAGAGCAGGTGACATCCTGCAGCCCCTAGGATTCTACAGAGGGATCTGAGAGTTCACGACACTTCCCCCCACCCCTTTTAAAACAAAGTTAAATGAGGCTTCGTTACCCTTATATGCATCACAGAGGACATTGCAAATAAATGATTGGGACAATATCAATGTACCAGACAAATGAGAAGATGAAAGAAGAAGGGAAGAAAGAAGAATTATCTGTTTGTAATAATTAGTTGGGAAGAAATAATGAAATAAGACATCTGAGTCATTTGATTCACTTTCTGGTCCCTATGGGTGTGTAAAACACAGCCAGGCATAATAATTGTTGTGAGATTTCATCACGTAAGAAACTTACCCAAGGAAACAGTTTTAGTGTTTGCTTGTAAGTGGCTGCATTTCAGTGACTGGATCACATACCCTTTCTTCTCCCATATCAGAGACACATATTTTTAAATGGCAACTTCTGTTTGTTTGGAACTCTTTTTGTTCTCAAAAAAAAAAAAATCAAATGTTTTCAGGCCCATGGAGATGATTCTACTCACCTTCCCTTAGAGTCCACGTGATTGGATGAAAGTGGAGGTGTTTGTGTGGGTGGGGTCCCCCCTCTTCCTCGTTCCCCTCAAGCCCCTGTGTGTTTGCAAGCTGTCAGCAGGGCTGGGGGCTTCCAGCTGATGTTGCGGCAGCCCCAGCTCACAGCCCCAGCTCACAGCCCCATTCTGGATTCATCTGTTTGCTTTTTATTGGAACCTAAGAGCTGGGACTTTTGTTTTGCTCACCATGTGTCCACAGAACTGGTGGTCAATAAGTATTTGTTCAGTAAAGGTGGGGATCAAAATTAAGACTCTGCCTGATCAATGCAAAATCAGTCAAATTAGTGACAGAGGAGAAGGGTGACATGGTTGTTAGAAAGCCATCTGGACCTAACTCCCGTATGTCGTGACCTTCACGGAGGTGGGCTCCATGATGCTCACTGTTCCCCTCCTTTGAGGTGCTGCTGTTCGCATTGCTTTCCCTTTGGTCTCATGAGAAGTGTGAAGATGGTGAATGGCTAAAAAAAAAATTGACTTTGCTTCCTGTACCAAGGCTGCTACCTGAGCAAACCTGGGCTTCTTTTGACAGCTCAGGGACCCTTTGAGGCCATTTGCCCAATGGAGTAGGGTTTTGATGCATCTTTCCTATTTCTAGGATCCACAAGGACCTCTTAGATGCTGTTTTTGTCACCCCAGAAGTTCTATAGTCAGAAAGCTTGCCCTCTGCCTAATGACCCAGCCTGCTGACAGCTGGTCTGTCCCAGTGGGGCAGGCCTGGTGGCTCTATGCTCTTGGTAGAGATTGGCAAGCTGCCCAGGCAGCTCTGAGCTGGAGGGTTCTGGGGAATGAAGGTAGTAGAGGTGTTACAGTGACTGCTTCTTGTTTCAGGGCGCGGCAGAAGACCCCCAGATGGCCCTGGCACTGAACTTGGACCCTGCGTTGATGAAGAAGTCTGATGCCGAGGGTCCCAGTCTGCTCTTCCCTGAGAGTGAACTTTCCATCCGGATAGGTAGAGCTGGGCTTCTTTCAGGCAAGCTCCCTGCTGCAGACCCTGGGCTGAGCTAGACAGTATAGATGGGGGCCTGGTGGCAGGAGGAATGATGGGAAATGCCAGGGGCTCTCTCTCTTCTCCCTCTGAATGCTTTATCCCACTCTGCACATGGTTGAACTGGCATCTGGCCCCAGGCCTCCCTATCTCATTTATTTTCCAAACCACCTGCTTGCTGCACAGGGGGTAGTACTACCTTTTGATTGTCTTCCTAACTGGGACAGTGGGTAAGGACCCCTCTGCTGGGATCGGGCTGATTTCTGTTAGAGTGTATGGGCATCTGTCCCTCTATCTCCCTGTCTCTGACAGACCCCAAATGACCCTTCCTATGTCTGTGACATTCATCTTTTTGTTTTGTCTGGGAAACTGTAGCCATTTCTCTCACTGATTCAGTTTGGAGCCAGAACACCTCAAAACACTCATGGCCAACGCATGCCTTTTAAGTTAGAGGGAATGTGTCCCTTGAGAGGAATCAGGTAGCAACTCCTGAATCCCTTCCGTGGGGAGGGGCAGACCAGGTGGTGGCCCACTGAGCAAGAGTTGAAGGTGTGCTGGAAAGATGACGTTGTCTTCCAGTCTCACCTGCACCTCCTCCCCCACATTGCTCAGTCACCTCTCACTCAGGGCATTTGGCTAATTTAAGGGCCAGTTAGCACGAGGAGAGGGGGACATCTTTCTTTTCCTTTGAATTTAAGTCCCACGGTTCACCTGCAAGCCCGGGATGCTGTGGAAAGTTTGTCTCTTGCCCTCCTCACTTCTGTAGACCATGGACAGAGGACCTAACACTGTGCAAAGGATGTTGAGAGTAGGTGCCCCTTCTCTGCACAGAGTTCTCTCTTGAGTGAATTAGGGAGAAATGGACTATAGACTGGTCCTATCTTCACATGAGGGATTTCAGGGAGGAAAAAAAGTCTTTTCCTGTTTTCATGCTGCCATTTCAATTTAATAGTTTTACCATGTGTAGAGACTAAGGGGATCTCTAGACCTCAGGGCCTGTCAGCGTATAAAATTTGCGGCAATGCTGCAGCCAGTTCTCAATTTTCTGTGTTCATATTATGGGCTGCATGAATTGTTCATGGAGAGCTTGAATGCCTTCTCCACGTCTGCTGGTCCTCACTGCCTCCCACAACTTCCTATGTGGGATATAATCAGGAAATAAAAATTCATCTAACATGAGCTTAGGTGATAGAGGCTTAGCACGAAACCTCTGCCCCTGCCTGCAATCACCCGTGCTATTCATACTCCAATCAGAATGACTTAGATTGTCTGCTGTTCTCCTCCTGGAGCAGCCAGAACTGGCTGGTGACTAAGATGGGCCAGCACCCTCCAGTAAAGCTCATTGTTTTTCATGGCGAGGGGTGGGAATGCAGGGACAGAGGGCTCTGTCCTTTCTCACTGGCTCTCCTGGGCTGGCGATCCTGTGTTCCCCTTGGAAGACTCCTGTCCTGATTCTGAGCCTTCTTGAGGATGAAAAAGTTGGCCAGGTTTCATTCCATCTCACTTTCCCCCCCTTATCCTCAGGCCATAGGAGGAAGGGTCAGTGCCTGTCAATCACAAGAGGTAAACAGTGGTTATCCCTTCCTCAGACCTTCTCCAAAGGGACCATGGGAATATAGGGCCAGTGGCAGTTGGCTCTGCAGGAGCGTTTCCCAGGACTGCAGGATCTGCTTGGCCACCCAGGCAAAGCAGTGAGCTGGGGCCATGTGCAGGAGGGAGATGCCGTCTTGTCCTCTGCTCAAGAACACCTAGACACAGCCTGTTACCAGGTTACCAAGCAACCCTTGGTTGCTGCAGCTGTTTAGGTATAAAAGCAAATGCAGCCTGTGGGGGAGCTTGAAGATGCTTTGCCAAGAGGGGGAGAGCCCAGCCACCTCTGGAAAGGTCTCTCTTCTTACCTGGGCACACCTGGGAGTGTCAGGCAGTTGTGGCCTCTAACACTGATAATGGCTATTTGATGACTGGCCTCATGCAGATCAAGCCAGAATATGTGTTATTTGTACCATCTGGATTTGCCCTTAAGCTTGCTGTAAATGGGGCAAGAAGATGGGCTTAATGGGTATTTAGTGAACAACATAAGCCTTTAAAAAATAATATTGGCGCTGCTGCTATAATGTCCCATAATTGGTCCGGCAAGAGGACACGCCAGAAAAGCCGCACTGTGGGAGGAAGTTTCAGCTGCTCTGAGCAGCGGCGGCCGCCTGAGCTGGGACACGCATTTATGAGATGCTTTCCTATTTATGTCTCTGTGCCAACTGTTTCACGTTATCGACTGTTCTCAAGGCTGGGGCTATTTTGGGACTTAGCTAGACCAGAAGTTCTTCTAAAACTATTGGTCTCTCTCTTTACCTGTCTTCTTTCTCTTTCTCTCTTTCACCTTCTCCCTCTGTCTCTCTTCAACTATTTAACTATCTCCAACTAGCTTTCTGTTAATTAAAAAGTAATAACATAGATGAAAAATTAAGAAGTAATTTTTCTTCCAGCTTCCAATTCCTCATTATGGTCCAGGCTTCCATCTTAGACGCAGACAGTGTTTCTGGTTCCTTTCATATCCTTTCAGAAATACTATGTTTTACGATTATACTCGGTGCTTTGATGTGTGCTTTGTATTTTTCACTTCGCCATGCGTTTGGCCTTTGTTTTCTGGGACGCTCATCAACTCATCCCATTCTTGTTATTGGCCATGACCCTACCTAATTGGTCCCCTCTTGATGGCCTTTTAGGTTGGCTCCGATCTTTTGCTACTATAAAGAATGTGGCAGAGAGCATTTTTAGTTGTACATCTCTGTGGGCGGTTATATTGTTGAGTAAATTCTAGAAGTGAGGCCAGGGGTTCTGTACATCTGGGGTCTGTGGATGAACACCAAAGGATGAACCTTTTGACATTTTTATGGAAAAAAAAGTGTTTTTGGAAGGCAGAGGTCTAGGGTTTCCATCACATTTCAGATGACCAGCCCCCAAAGTTCACCTAGATCTTGAACTTTACTGTGTCCACCTCCCCCACTCAGCTGCCCAATTGGGCATTTTCTTTTTCACCAGCACTCTTTTGGCTACAGAAGGGTAGTAAAAAGTAAATCAATCCATTTGTTTACTAATTAACTGTCCCATTTCAGTATGCTTATTTTGATAGAGGCAGTTGAGACTCTTCAAGAGGGAAGGTTTTTGGTTATTGATCCATTAGTGTGGCAGATGGAGAATTGTCTCTAATTTTGTGCAAGTGCAGAAAGAACAGGAGTAGGCATTATTTTCCAGTAGAAAAAGAGGAGGATTTAATTTAGGGAATTATTTAGTTGTAAAGTGGCTATTTATTTTCCTTAAGTCATTCTAAAGCTTGTTGGGGGGAAAAGTGAATGGGTACTTAAGTCAGGGAGACATGAGCTGTGAGAAACTGCCTAGAAATCAATGTTTCCTTAATGTCCTGTTCTTTCATAATCAGAGAATCCACCTGGTGGTAATAATTGTACCTACACAGCCTGGCAGATTCGAAACCACGGTTGGTAAAAGGAAAACGATGCAGACCCAGAGTTAAGTGGGTGATAGATTTGGATAAACTACCGTCACCAGACCATTAGCAACACTTGCTTGTATCTTAGTCTTAAACTCGATTTCCTTATTGGTTATGCTGCTGCTGACTTGCTGGGTGGCATCCTTCTGTGGAAATGGAACTGATCTTGGTGGAGAGAATTTGCCTTTTCTAACTTAAGGTTCCCAAGTGCCCAAGCCCCCAGATCGGTATCTGTAGGGTTTGTGCCATTCAGAACCATGATGAAGTCCAGCTGTTCTTCGATGTCATTCTCCCTCCTCAAGGCACCCTCATTTCTCCTCTGGGTATCATACAATACTCTCCTCATTTAATCTTGTACTTGGAATCATCCCTCTCTCTGTTTTCCCCATTGATCTTCTACTGGAAGTACCCCTGGGAAACGATTTGATAAACTGACAAATGTGGAGCCAACTAACCACTGGCAGCGTTTCACTCCTGCTTATGCATTTGCATTGGAACTGGGGACGGTTTCTCTAGCCACACAGGGAACCCAGTAGATGGATTTTCACACTGGCCAGCCTTTGGAGGGTCACACTTTGGTATACATGTAGGGCTGCGGGACGGCGGCCAGGCTGAGTGGCATGGAATCCTTTCTTGGAAGACAGCCTCCTGTTCTCGTAAACCAACCATGCGTACTCAACCCCCCACCCCTAGATTTCCTTGGCACTGAAATTCCTTGGCATAACCTAATCCTAGGGAACCAAGGAGGAACCTACTGAAACAGCTGCAAGGCCACTGTGACTATCTCTGTTTTCTTCCGTGTTTTCTACCTTTCCGAGTCTTCCCCAAAGGAGCTACTCCATCCGTCACCGATATTTCTAGTGTGATGGAAACTGAGGTGTGATCAACAGTCTGATGTAGCTCCTAGGATAAATTCTGGGTGTTTCTTTATAAAGAGGTCTCCAAAGTAGTGTGTTTAGGGAAGTCTCTGACACATTAGTAATGTTGACTTTTTATTGGTAAGCTCTCTAAAGATGAAAGACTAACTTTCCAGTTATTCCTGTAGATTTATGTCCCAGCATGTGGTTTCAGCAATTAGACTCCATCTCCCTCCCCACCTGGCCCCTGGAACTGGTTAGGTCAGGGATGTTAAAACACCTTCTCCTGTCCTAATTGAGAGGAGTTGTCTGGGGTCTGAAAGACAGGCCGGGCCTGGCACTGCTGCCCCCTTTCTGTACCCTGGGTTTCTTCATTAAAAAATTGGGAATGAACCAAACTTGTCAGCACATGGCAGTAGCACTGAGGCTATTAAAATGTGTCCCATTTTCATACAGAAATATTTGGCCAAAAGATGAAGAGCAAAGTGCTCGATAATGATAATTACCAGGAGCTCTTCAGCATCATGGATGTTAAATATAATACTGAAATACCACCTCGAGCAGCATGCTGTGTGGGTGGCTTGAGTGACTGTTAAGTGTGTCCCAGCTTGTGGAAACATTAT